AGCCAGTTAAAAGGAAAAAAAAAAGATAAACTGGATTAACCCACTTTGGTTCCCCTTCAATTTTTTATAATTTTATTTTTTTTTATTCGTTTTCAAAATAACATCGACATTTTAAATAAAATTAATTTCCGCATTTGGTAGTTTTTAACACATGTTTTATTTTGCAACCGAAATTTTCCCACTGTTTGGAATCAATTCTTTCAACATATATTTGTTGTGTACTTTGTGGGACTTGTGTTCTTTCAATTTCTTATACTTTTCAAAGCATTTGTTTTCCCCCCTTTTATTTTAAAATTTAAAAGGTTTGTCATTATAACGAAACAGTTCCCCTTTGAACAGATAAATTCTTTTCAATTTTTTTTTTAAAGTTTAAAATGGCCAAAAGATGCTACTTCCCATTTTTGTTCCTTACATATTTTTTTTTGAGCTCAGCTTTGTTGGCCCGTTCCGATGATGGATACGTTTATAGTGAATCAGAATCAAAGTATGTAAGACCCAATTCGAACGATGAACAGAAGCAGGAGCTGCAGAATATGCAGCCCGGAAAATCGCAAGATGGTGTCACCACCACCGTGAATAATGGCCCCTTGTCGAGGCCTCAGTCCTCCTTAAGTGTGAAGGAGGCGGAAGAAGGAGAAGGAGGAAGGAAGTCGAGAGTGAATAGGGCAACATCCCCAGCAGCGGAGGCAGCAGCAAAAATAAATAAAACCAGGGATGGCACAGCAGTCGTTCCACCCAAAGATGGCACAGCAGTCGTCGCACCCAAAGACGGCACAGCAGTCGTCGCACCCAAAGACGGCACAGCAGTCGTTCCACCCAAAGATGGCACAGCAGTCGTTCCACCCAAAGATGGCACAGCAGTCGTCGCACCCAAAGACGGCACAGCAGTCGTCGCACCCAAAGTGTCCATGCTACAAAAGAGTGAGTCCTCGGAAAGCTTAAGGGAAAAATTGGGAACAATGCTCACAGTATTTGGCTTACATCCGTCTAGGTATATCAGCCCCATGAAAGAGTTATTTCATTTGTACAACAGCAACATTGACATCATGAAAGATGATTTCAGTTACGGATCAATATCACTACACATGCAATTTCAGAAGCATACAAATAGTAACGACATTGCTACGGTGAACACCGTGTTCTATGCAAATCATACAGAAGATGACACAAAAAGTGTAGGGGCACAAGGAGACCACCTTATTAATTTAAACGTGGATGAACTGTTAAGACAAAACGAAGGTGTAAATTTCCTTCCTAGGGCTTCGTTTGGAGACAGCGACGGGATTGTTACTTCGGATCAGTCTCTTAATGTGTACCAATCTATTAAGGACAGTCAACTCGACGCCACGAAGCTTTTTATCACTCTAGACAAGGTGGGAGAAGACAGACTTTCCGTTTCAACATTGGACAATTTTCTTGGCGAATGTTTGAAGACTGCACAGGATGCCTTGGCGCAGCCAGGTGCTTCGGATAAGAAGAAGAAGAAAGCAGAAAATTTGCAACGAGCCGGTGAGGTTAGAGGTAGCGAGGCTAGTGGAAGTCAGACCAGTGGAAGCGAGGTCAGTGGAAGCCAGGGCAACAATGGCCAAAAGAAAGCCCGGAAACAAGAAAAGACCAGAAAGGCTTTAATGGATGAATTCAAACAGAGCTTGGTCTCGAAGGACATGGCGGCGTGTAAAAAAGCCGCCAAGCTGCTAATGGCGAATTCGACGATATCTAGTTTGATGTACCTGTTCGTACTAATAGCACTAGGCGTCTACTTATTGTAGGAAGCTGACGCGAAGGGACACTGTGTTGAATGTCGGGTGGCGCATTTGCATGTGCGTTGAGGAACTCTTTCCACTTTGCTAACCCCTTTTTACCCGAGTGGACACTATAGCTGTATAAGCCGCTCGCGCACGAAAATGCCTAAAGCGCATTTCCTTGTTTTTTGAAGCGCCATGCGTGGTAATGTTTTCGCGACGAGAGTTGTTACCCTTCTTCGGGTGCGTTCCCTCTTTTCCCGGAGAGCACCTAACAGGTGCTGAAAAGGAATTATTCCCCAATGGAGGAATAAGTGCGCGACGGCGAGAGGGGCTCCAATGTGAGCCAATACATGTGTGCGTGTGCATACACATACACACTTTGCACAGTTTAATTTGAACCCCTTTTTCACGTTACTGCATTTTGTGCCTATTCTATGTTCGATCCAATTTAATCTTGAAAAAAAATAATTTGTTGCGACTGCTCGCATTTTGTCACAATTAAGTTTTTAAGAAAGAAAAGAAAAAAAAATGAACAACGTGGCATGTGTTGTAAAGTTAGCACAGCACGTGGTACGCAGAATGCTGCGCTGATTAAGCGGGATGGATGCGTGCCTCGTGGAGGTACGCTGTCTTGGCAAACGAATGGGTTCAAACGGGTTGAAGTGGGATATCAGCGGGGTAGAAGTCGGATATGCGCGGAATATGCGCGGGGTATAAATGGGACAGACGCTCGGTCGAAGCGGGACGGCGCATCGGAGCCATCACCACCTGACGTTTTGGGGCAGGAAGTTGCGGCGCCTGCGCACGCGGTTGTGCTCGGAGGGATTCTGGAAGTGAATCTGCATGACGAAAATTTTCTTCTTCTCAAACCACTTGTAGTAAAAGTCATGCGTCTCGTCTATGTCCAAGTTTGGAATTTTAAAAGCAACAGTTTCGTAGGGTTCGGCTGCGAACAACAAGTACTGATATTTTTTGTCTGGAGGTTCGATTTTCTGTTCAAATGATGACATGAAGCGGAACTTGGGTTTGGTGTTTTCTTTAATATTCGGAAAGGACAATTCGAATAGGATGCCGAGTTTATTTCTTTTATTTTTCACTTTGGTGACATCATATCTTGGTTTTCCGATTTTTACAATTTTCTTTGGCTCTGGAGTAGCTTTGTTTAGTAACTTACTGGTGGTCATTTCATTTTTTTCTTTTAGTAATCTCTGGCTCAAATTCATTTGATGCTTTTTCCCCTGCGTATGACATAGGTAGGAGCTTTCATTGTTGTGCAGAGTTAAGCATAATTTACACTCGTACATGCCAACATTATTTTTGAGGATATATGGGTCTTTCGTGATGTCTATATTTTCTAGTGCGAGTTGCTTCAGTCGTTCACGTCTCTCCTGGTTTATGTCCTCCCTCGTCATGGGCATGCCGCTGCCCGTTTTGTGGCCCACTCGGTTTTGGAAGTCCATCTTGGGGGGTAGGCCAACTTGGTTAGGCGAGCTTGGTTAGGCAAGCTTGATTAGGGCAGCTTCTTTAGGCCAGCTTGCTTAGGCCAGATTCGTTATGGCAACTTTGTTATGCCTACTGATTCACACTGCCTGGCTGGCTCCTCCTCAGACAGGATACGGCTTCTTCCAGTGTGGCACCTTTTCCACTTCACCTTGGTAGTCGCAACAGATACGCATTTACGCGAAATGGTGAGGACTCCTCTGGATGGTGAATTCATAAACTCGTCAATCCATTCACGCATAGGTACATGAGAATGCACTGTGACTACCAAGGTGAACTGCCTACAAGTCGCAAGTGCTCCTGAATTTTTGTCCTCTGCCTTTTTTTCCTCCAACGAATATGTGCTACATTGGATTGCCAAGGGAGCAGTAAAAAGAGCATATCATCGCCTATATATATGTACAGTAATCAACAAAAAAAAAAAAAAAACAAACAAATTGCGCGGGGATGCGGGGGGAAAAAAGTTTATCACCGCAGGGAACCCATCACATTTCGCAATTTATTTTTTAACGTATTCTGGTAGCTAATTTGGCCATTAAATTGACATTTTGTCGCTGTGCATTTGTAAAAGTGTTTGCCTTTTTTTTCCTGCTATCGCTGCTGCTACCGATGCTCCTACTGCCGCTAGACCGCCGCCGCCGCTCCTCTGGCTTATTCCCTTCGGGGGATGAACCTTTGGGGCTGCGCCCTCTTATTACTGCGCACGAGTTGGGTGGGATATAAGTGAGCCTCCGAGGTGGAGTTAGCCTTGCAAAGGCATTTATCCGACACTCCACCCCTCAGGAAGAAAGAACTTACAAACAAGTGCACAGAAAAACGTAACCATATCATATCCACGCATGTTTGTACATTTGTGCGTTTGCGCCTGCCCAACTGTGCGCAGTATTTATAAAAAAACCTGCGCTAATAGAAGAGGCATAGAAAACGCCCAAAGGGGGGAAGCGAGCAGAGCTGAAACTTCACCCACTTCGCCACCCGCAGCCGATGAACCGCCAGGCAGATGAGATACCACACCGGTTGTTGACCACACGGGTTGTGCGTCATCCATGCTGTTCGCATCACACATTAGGGGTCTCCCTCCCCCCGAAGGGAAGCAAACTTATCTCTGATTAAACCCAATTTAAGCGAGCCAAGCGGAAACCCCCTTTTTGCACCCCCAATATGTGAGCCCCTTCAGAGGCATAACTGGGAAGCAACCCTTTGAGCGCTCAAGAGGGTTATAATAACAAGTGGGGGAGGGGCACAGAGAAGTCTTAACAGACAATCGCAAACATTTGCAGTATTTTTGGCACAAGTGATCTACGTGGAGGCCCCAAATCTGGTGATGAACCCAGTGGGGACAACATAATTTGTGGAAGCCCATCAAACATGAGCAGCCAAAAAAAAAGGAGAGCGCCAGATGTTTCCCAGACAGAAGAAAGAACATGGTGAAAAATGTAACGCAGAAAAAAGAGGAAAATGAAAACCTTTGCCCTACTACACAAGTTGCAGGTGCACAAATCAGCGCTACAGGAGGATGAACGCGAAGGCGTCGTCTGTTTCTTTTCCCTATGTGTCAGCAATGGCTTTGTTTACGTCGGTTCATCCAACGGGAGGATCTTCCTTTTTAAGAGGAAAGGGCCGTGCTTATTCGAACCCGTCCTCTTTTACAGCGTCATTAGGAGCCAAACGTCTGGAATAGTAACAAAGGTTAGAAGTGGGGAGAGAGGGGTGCCTCCATCAGGTGGGGGAACAACGAAAGGGGGTCAGAACAGCTCAAGTGAAGCTTTTCCCCTCTGCAGCTTCGTTTGTGACCCACTTTGCATCGCCATCGTTCCATTTGAATGATCCTCTTTCCATTCGCATCATTCTCTTTCCATTTCTCTCCTCCCCTTTGTAGATATTTGCCGTGGACCGCCTTCACCTCCTAATTCACGGAACGGATAAGGGGGGCATTTACATCCTGGAAAGTAAGAAGCTAGCCAGGAGAAAATGTTTTTTAAGCACAGAGAGGGAGAAAAAGAAAAGGGTGCGCAGGTTGGTGAGTCCTTTCCATAAAGGGGCCATAACAAGCATAAATTGTGTAGTGGAGGAGGATCTGAGGTGCAGGCGGGGAAGGAGCTTCTCGGGAGGAAGGAGATGCTCCAGAGGAAGTAGCGGCGGAAGTTGCGAGGGAGAAACCTTGTACGTCTTCGTGGGAGACCAGCAGGGCATTCTGTCCTGCATCGTTTTAAAGAAAAAAGGGTCGAGGGTAAGAAGCGAGGCGAATATTCTCCTCATCGATAAGACAAACGGGCCAATCGGCCACGTAGAAATTGAGCGAGACATAATTTTGGTCACCTGCGAAAGGGTTAACGTCATTATGAATGTAGAAGATGTGATTGACAGGAAGGTTAACTTTTGCACCATTGGGAAAAAAGAAAACAGGAGTTATTATCGGTCTGTATTTTGCAACTCCAAGGGGAGGAAGGGGGGCTGCCCGTTTATTTTGAGTTTGAGGAAAAATGGGCGTGTGTGGCTAAGCCATGGGGAAAGGGTGATAAACACGCTGGTTTTTTACTACTCATCTGTTTATTTTTTTTACTTGTTTTTTAAGGCGGGGGTTACCGCCGAAGTTAGCATCGAAGTCAGCGACGTGGATAGCGACTTGGTGAGTGATGGCATCCGCCGTGGAGATCGTCCAGACGGTGGTGGAACCCCCCTCCCATTCCACTTGTACGTAAAGCAGCTCATTAAAAACGTCCACTTCACAACTCTGTTAAAGAAAATTTTAACAAAATTTAAAAATTTCCTCCTGCCGCTAAGACCGAATGCAAATGTATGTTACAAGATAGACAAGGATCACTTCCTCCTCTTTGAGTTGGCGAACCCGTTCCGGTCCTTCCCGAGTGGCTCCCCAGATGCCTGCGCCGGTAAGCTGCCAAGAAATGACGACGAGGAGGAAAATCTCGCCCACTTGAGAAAAGATATAGACTTGATAAGAAGTTTCATCGAAAAGGAGATGCAAAAAGGGATGGAAAATGGAAGGGAAGACGGAAAGGAAGACAAAGAGGAAGACGAAGCCAGTGGGGAGAAAACAAAATGCCTATCATTCCTAATGCACCATTTGGACGATGCGGAAAATATTTTGCGGAGAATTAAAAGCAAGAAAATAATGGTGATTAATATTAGAAGCATCGAAATAGAGGAGATGGTGGACCTCCATGTGGGTTCCCTGCCCTGGGGATGCAACGAGAGGGGAGAGCAAGAGCGACCAGGGGAAACCCATTGCACAAGTAACAAGAGTAACAATAAGTTGGGCAAACAAGAAGGGGAAGGAACACAGGGGAAGATTCCCTGTGGAGAAGAAAATCTAAGGTTGTCCCCAGAATGCGTTTCCCCGAAAGGAAGAGACCATATGGATAGCCCACCCCCAAATGAATCCCAAAAAGGGAACAAAATAGAAAATAAAACACATCGAAGAATAGATGATCCTTTTTGGAAATATTTCCCCCCAAATCAGATAATCGACTCGGTGAAGTGGAAAAAGAAAATCTTCTTATTATACTTTAATCCGAACATGAGACACGATTTTTACGTTGCGCAAAACATAAGTGATGTTTTTATATCACCATACAATGTGACACCAGGTGGGGGAGTCCACCAGATAGGGGGAGACACATGTGAGGGTAAAGCACAAGAGGGGACAACACATTTCTACCTGTGCGAAGTGCACATTGAGGACAACTTCGAATTGGCAAAATACCTCCCACACGAAATAGAAAAAGTGACCCACTTGGAGGGGTACTCATTCCACATGCTGCTCTTCCATGTGAGTCATTTTTTCGATTACCTGAACGGAAGGAGGGATTCCCTAGATCCAAATTTTCTTTTCCACGTGGAGAAGGACCTCCTACCTGTGGAAGAAGCTCACTGTCTGGACGACCAAATAAGTCAGGTACTATTAAAAAATATAGAAGCTGTAAAAAAGAATATAAAGAATTCACTTTGCGTAACCCAGAGGGTAGAAGCAACTGGGTCGGATTTTATCACTGATAATAATTTTCTACAAGGGGTGGACTTGTTCCGCAGTGTTTATGCTCCTGTTAACCCCGCCTATTTGCATGTCAATGTGAAGAAGGCAAAAAAATTGTACAGCCGTATGAGGAGCGCCGTGGTGAAGTATATGCCCCTTTTCTGCCAGGTTGTTACGTGTGAGGTATTTCCAGACACGCCTTTGAAGGGCCATCTCCCGTGTGTAAACAACTTCGACCTCGCCACGTGTGTAACACTCATTCGAAGTACCCCCCATTTGCTGTTTCAATTTTTGCACTATTTCCACATCTTTGTCTACCTCGAAGTTGTCATTACGAGTTGTATATACAGGGAGAATTACTGCTTCAGAAAATTTCCCCTGTACGTTCCGGAGAGGAGGCTGGGGGGCGGGGAAAATCCGCTTACCCCTCCTTCACATATTGATCGAGAAGTGGAAATCGCGCAGACAGGAACAGTCAATCGGTTAAGAAGTTACGCAGCGGTGCAATTAAAAGGTGCCGATAATGATTTGAAGATGCTCTCTCCCCAGTTTGGGAGAATAACGTCCGTTACAAGCGTCGTTAGGCCAAATGGAGGAGACCGAAGTGGAAGAATAGGATACGATGCCTTTGTTGACGCGGGTGGCGGCTGCTGGAAGAAGAGAAACCATCTCTTCAGAGCAAGGGGAGAAACATACAAAGAAGGCCCCTCATCTGATGGAGGAAACACCTTTGACCTCTTTGACAATCTCCGTTTTGTGGTGAAAGGGTTGTCCAAAAAAGGGGGTGCAATGAGGGAGACACTTTCCGATGGAGTCCCCCTTCCAAGGCACGCAACCCACCTCTCTAAGAAGGAACTTTTCTTCCAATGTAACAGGAGGATAAATCGCCAGGGGACTCTCCGAAACGTGCTTCCATTGCTGCACACGTTGTACCTGTACCGAAGGTGGAAAAGGAGCATCGTGGCGAAAGTTGGTGAGCGGTTTGAGTGGCCAAGGCGGCCCTGCAGGAAAGAAATGGGCGAGAAAGTGAGAAGAAGGGGCCCCCCCCAAATGAATCGCCTTACACGATTGTTCCAAGCAGTAGGGCGAACACAGCGGTCTCCACATGCACACCACGAATATGTGGAGCAAAAGCAGCTCCGGAACAATGGGAAAAATTCCTGCACCCAATTTGAAGAGCGAAAAGGAAGGTCTCCCCAAATTCGAGGTGATGTCCGTGATGAAGGGATCCAACGCCAGCAGATCGAATTGCGTAAAATACTTACCCTCAGGAAGCTTCTAAAAACGTACATGGAAAATGCAAGTTGCAAGAAAGGCATTCTAAAGGACCAAATGACAATACAAGACTTTTTGAAATGCACAGAGAGGTTATATTTTTATCGAAAGGTCACTGAAGGGGTGTACATAATAAACCTCAATGAGTATCGCCAGATTTATGAGTGTCTCTTCCTATATGAATTATTTGTCAAATTATTTGACACAGAAATTGTTCTGTTCCGCTTGCACCCTAATTGTAAGGTCAAGATGGAAGTGAGGAGTAAGGACGATCGTGGGAGGGGTATCCTTTGGAGAACGTCCTTACGTGAGGGGGATCAGCAAGAGGAGGAGAATCACCAGAAGGAAGAGAAACACCAACATGGCATGGTTAACATCGTGGGAAATAAACAAATGCAATTTTTCCAAAAATGGAATGAACACATCATACGGAATGACATCCTGCTGATGGATATTCTCTTCGGGTTTTACTACAACTCGGAGGGCAGCTCAGACGCAAATTTGAAGTCGTTCGTGAGGAAGTTCTCCAATTTTGGTTACCTAGCTGAGTATGTCAGTTATGTGAGGGGGGAAGGAGCCAAGGGGGGAGAAGCAAAGGGGGGTGAAGCCAAGGGGAAAGAAGCCAAGGGGGCGATGAAAGGAGTGGGCGGCCACGTTCCAAATGGGACTTCCTTCTTGTTCAGCTTCGATGAAGCGGCGAGGAAGAGGAGCGAAGTCGACATGTACGCCAAGTGTGCTGTGGACAACCCCCACGGGGGGGGCCTCTCCCGGGCTTACATCGTTGAGAAGCGGTTAGACGGGTCACGAACCCAACGAAGCGGATCCACCCAAGAGGTAGCATCCCCCCCACATGGCAAGCCATCTTGTGAACAGAATTGTTTCCATCTGCCAGATAACGTCGAGGCAAAAAGAGGAGGGAGAAACCATCTGAAGAAAGCGAAAAGGGAGGAATACCGTCTCCATGTGGAGACCTTCCTGAGGGCATACACCCATCTAGAGAAGAAGCACCGATGTACAAGACGTCAGCGGGGTGTGAACGTATTCCTTTTTTTTAAAAATATTGATGTGTACAATTTCGTGAGAGTCGTTTATCTGTTGTGCAGGGAGAGATACCACCATGAGCTCCCTTTATGCGCAGGGAGGGAGGGAAGACATCCAAATGGGGATCCATTAAGAAAGAAGAAACCTATTTGGAACTCGCGCGAGGTGTCTGCGCATATTGGCCACATTGTCCACAGGCATGAAGAATCAAGTGGGTTAAAAAAGGTGAGCAGTGCCTTTCGCGCGTTTGTGAAAGATTTGATGGTGGGAGAAGGGACAGATGAGCCACACCTAGAGATACTTAACCAACGCAGCGTCGAATTGTGTCTGCAGTATGTACGCCATCTTATAAAAGGGCAAACGACTTGCAGACATTCGCCAGGAAGGAAGAAGAAAATGTCCCTTCTGGTGTGTAAGCTGGCGCACCTGCTCCGCATGCTGAATTGGAGAAGGGCGTTATCTTCCCTTTTAGATTTATACAGGAGTCTCTCTTGCGAAGTTTTTTTTTTCACTCTCCTTTGGGAAAGGCATTGTACTGAATTGGGAGGAAGGGCTGCCCATCTCCTCCACAGGGACTTTTCTACAGTGCTAAAGAAGAATCGAAGTTACGAAGACGTTGTTATGCATATGCTGCTGCACATCGGAAGAAACAGTGGGTATTATTTCAGCATTATGATCATGACAATTCTGAAGTATTTTTTTGAGGATTATTTTTTTTTAAAAAATGTATGTATAAGTTTGGAGGACGTTATAACAAGAAGGTATTCTTCATTATTTTTGTGTTTCTTCAAAAATGGAATGTTCAAGAGGGAATGCATCTTTTCTCCAAATTTGTTCCAGTCGTTTCACACAAGTGACAGTTTTTTTTTTTCTGGCCATTCCTTTGTTAAGTACGTTTTTAAACGTTGCTATACATATATGAATTTTCAGAGCGGCAATTTTTTAACTGTGTTAAATAATTTGCTATATGACCATCTTTTGAAATTGTTTCATTTTTTTCAAGTAAACTGTTCGTCTTCTTTGCATGTGCATTTCTGTTTTTTTCTGTTAATATCTTATTTCTATGTTGGATATTATGCGCCTGTGTACCCTCTTTTGCGCTTCTTTTGGGATACATTTTGTGCCCTTTTGCCGAAATTGCAAATTTTAAATTGCAAGGAAGGGGAGTCACAGAGTTGTGTGTTAAGGGAGGGACGAGAAGAAAAAGAAGAAGAAGAAGAGGAAGAAGAAGAACAAAAACAACAAGAAGAAGAGGCCCCTCCGACGGGCCATAAAAAGGATACCAAATTTTCCACTCAAAGGAAGCGCCAGAAGGATGTCATCCCCTCGGAGGAAAGTCTACTGCATAGCATTGATTACCTCGCCAATTTCTTTTTCGAGATGTTAATTAAATTCCTGTGGGAAGTAAATCACAAGGTTTGCAGCAAGGACGTCGATCTGGTTATTCATAACATCCGTAAGAACGAAGAAGTGTACTTAAAAGCATCCGAATTTGTGAACAACTTTTATGGGTCATGCGCCCTCGTGTGCAGCAGGTGTGGTGAAAACGGGCTAGGCGAAACCTTTCACAAGCAGGGCTCAGTTACATGCAGAAGAAAAAATATCAGCGTACAGATTTATGACCGACGCGGTAGGGCTCATACCCTTGTGGAAATGCTTAACTCCTTTTTTGGGGTGCTCTGTTGTTTGCAGACGATCAAACTTAGCCTTAAGAAGCGGCGCGCCGTTTTTCTTCGTACCAATAGGCACTACAGGAAATATCTTCTGGGCATAATTTGCGGGCTGTTTGGGGGAAGGGCGGAGGGGAGCGGTGCAGGAGGCAGCGAAGAACGCGGCGAAGGATGTCGTTGCAGCCCGCCAAGTGGACCGAGCACAAATGGCACCTCCCGCGAGCGTCCCCATTTCCAACTGGATCGCTTGGCACAGAGGGAACGCTCCCTAAGTGTCCTCACCTGCGCGCTCTGCATCGCCCACTTCGTCAGTCACTTCAAACACATCAAAGGAGAGCTCATCAGGAAATTCATCTTCATGCTTGACTACTTTTTGGCGAACCACGACTCCCCGAACTTTGAGCAACAACACTGGGGATACACACCCCAGAAGAATATACACCAAATTTACAAAACGATCATAACAAACTTGCCCACAAGGGTGTTACCGGTTAAGTGAGAGGAAGAGACGAGACACGTTTGTTTTGTTTGCAGCATCGTGGGATGGTTCCACAATTCCAGCGCGTTGCACTTGGCTCCCCCAGTCGAAGCTCCTCGCGGTTAAGAAGTCACGCCGTTACGCAGTTAAGTGGCCACTCCACTTGGCCGCTTCGCTGCCTCACCGCTTCGTCGCCCCACCCCCGGTGCCACATTTTTTTTTTTTTTGGCCACTTCCCACTCCAAGGTGTAATTGCGCTCGTCCCCCTTTTTTCTCAATCCTCATTCGAAACGTTATACTATTTGTTTTGCCATTTTTATGAAAATTTATTTCTTAAAAAAAAATTTTTTAGTGTTCACATGCCATGCGTGATACACATGAAGGAGTTTTTTTTTGTGTACATAAAAAAAAAAAAAAAAAAAAAAAAACATTAACATGGAGGAAAAAAAAAACATTAAAATGGAGGAAAAATAGAAAACACTAAAATGGAGGGAAAAAAAAAACATTAAAATGAAGAGATAAGAGAAACATCAAAATGGAAACCAAACCATCTTAAGATGAAAACAAACGCGCAGAGAGGCCAATAACACGGACAATATGCGCGTCGAACTGGCGTGAGGAAAACCATTTAAGCACTCATCACTTCGCCCAGAACAGGCGCAAAAAGGCAGATTTCTCTATGCCTTCTTCAGAGTAGTACAATTTGCCGCTGTTCATTCCTTCGTCTGTAGTGCCCCTCCGAGGAGGTCCACTAACTGTCCGTCCGTGTACCCTCTGCACACACGGCATTACCAACACCAGCGCCTCCATCTCATGCTGCTATTAGTACGAGTAGCAAAACGAGACCAAGCATCCTCAGTCTGCCAAGTGGTAATAACTCCCCCTCCATTGCACACACGTACAAACACACATAGCCACGCACAAAACATGTACTACCCCCCTCCTTATAGCCACACATGATGGGAAATAAAATTTCAGAAAATAAACAAAGGCAAATTATTATGTATAAAAATATAAAAAGTAAAATTAAAAAAAAACACAACCTCGATGTTCGAAGGAACATTTACATTTCTCTACTTAAGGAGAAAGAACTTAGCAATGTCCACTCGGAAATATTTGAAGCCTACAAGGCACAGGAAGAGAGTGATTGTGGTGGGGTGGAGGAGAATGGGGGCCCTGCGGAGAGGAGCAGCCGGGGGAGAGACGGAACGTACGTTAAAGTAAATTTCAAAAAAGGGGAATCGCACACACATGCGGGAGGCACCCATGTGAGTAGAAAATGTGCCGACCTAGGAGGAAGACGCGAAGAAGGGAAACCCACGACGTCGAAAAGGAGGCAGCACCATCGGTATGGCGACCATGAGGATAGCCACGGGGAGAGTCGTACTCGACGACGAAGTGGGCACCGAAGTGACAGACGTAGTGACAAACGAAGTGAACTACAAAGTGACCGAAGAAGTGATTCCCCAAATGAGAAAAGACACTTTGAGCTGGACTACGGCTTCTTCTTCACCGTGGAGGAAAGATCCA